AACAATATTATCAAGAAACATTTCAAGTCATGGAACCAACTTGTATTCATGGTGATTTACATATTGGTCAATTTCATTATTATTTTGATGATATCAACAATGAACGAATATTTAAAATACGACGTCATAAAAAAATCATTGCACCATTTACATGGGATCTCAAACGTTTAGCAACTAATCTTGTACTTATTGCTTATCATCAAGGTTTTAGTGATACTGAAATCATTGAAATATTACATGTTTTTATTCGACAATATATTAAATGTGTTATAACAACAACAACAACAACAACAACAGACAAGATGATTTTATGCAAAAAAAAATTCTATTGAAACAGAACAATTTCATCAAATAAAACCATGTTCACTTCATAAGCAATTTTCAGTTATTAGTTCAATTCCAATTAAACATGAAATGTCTGAAATCAATTGGAAAATATTTGATACTGTAGCTAATTTGATGATATTAGCTGAACAAATAGCTATTATTGTTGCGAATTCACATTGTCAACCACCAATTTCTATTATACCAACACAAAATACAATAGAAAATAATGCTGATCATTGTACACATATTATTCAAACAGCTTTATCTTCATATAATCAACAACAAGAATTAATTAATGATATTTGCCTTTTTTCTATGACATATGCTCAAATAGCTGAACGTGATTATCGACTTTTTTTTAAACATTTTCGTAATGAAAGAATATTTAATGGTGTAAATGTAATCAATCATACTCGAATACCACATCCATTAACTAATGCTCGTTCAGTATCTATATTAATTGTTGGTGGAGGTATTAGTGGTATGGTGACAGCATTAAGTTTTGCTCGAGCAGGTATACCAGTTCGATTATTTGAAAAAAAGACTGAATTTGGTGAAATTGGTGCTGGTATGCAATTGGCACCAAATTGTAGTCGTATACTTGATCGTCTTGATGTTTTAAAACAAGTACAAGCTAATGCTTTTTTTCCTAAACAAATTGTATGGATGGATGCTTTAACTGGTCAACGTCTTACATGTATTGATTTAGGTGCTAAATTCATTGAAACATTTGGTTATCCATATATAGTTGTACATCGAGCTGATCTTTTTAATGCAATTTATCAAGCATGTTTAGCAAATTCAATGATAACAATGGAAACAGATCGTACAGTAACAAGTGTTGATGAACGACCAAAATCAATAATGGTTGAATGTGCAGATGGAATGCGTTATGATTGTAATATGGTAATTGCAGCTGATGGTCTTTGGTCATCATTAAGAAAATTTGTTTGTGATGATGGTGCACCAATTAGTGCTGGTTATGTTACTTATCGAGGTACAATAGATATTAAACAAGTTTCAAAAGAAGCTGGTCTTGAAAATGTTCAATTTTGGATTGGACCTGATATACATTTAGTACAGTATCCTATTCGACGAGGAGAATCATATAATCAAGCAGCTATATTTAAGTCAAAAAAGATACCTGATGATACAGATGAATGGGGAACAAAAGAAGAACTTAATCAGCGATTTAGTATTGGATGTAAACATGTTAAAAATGCTTTAAAATCAATTCAAACTAATTTTCGATTGCCTGTTTATGAGTAAGTTATATTTTTATAGAATTTATTTTTATTTTCTTTCATATCTAATTATCTTTCTAGTCGTAATCCATTATCAAAATGGAGTCGTGGTCGATTAGTATTATTAGGTGATGCAGCTCATCCAATGTTACAATATGCTGGTCAAGGTGCTGCACAAGCATTAGAAGATGCTGATGTACTTGTGACTGCTTATAAAAAATATGGACCATTAAAAATTGATTCTGTATTTCGAGAATATGAACAAAAACGAATACCTCATTCATCAAAAGTTGTTCAATTTGCACGTGATATTGGTACTTTTGCACATTGTGATGGCGTAGCAAAAATTGTTCGTGATAAAATATTAAAAGAACATGATATTTATGATTATGAATTTTTGAAATGGATATATGAAGATCATCAAAAAGATAGAAAATAAAAATATTGTATAGGCATTATTTTTTTGTGTTATTAATTAATTTATTTCTATTTGATAATCTATGTCGGAGATTTTTGCTCGGTGATTTGTTTAAAGTTATTCCTTTTGTTTTTTGTATATTTTGATTTTATTCAAATGAAATAGAAATTCTAGTTTGATGAGTTATTTATAAAAAAAACAAAAAAAACTTCTTGAAACATAATTTGACAGTAATTAACAAAGAAATACTGATCAGCAAAATTATAGATGAAAGAAAAATCACAATAAATGTGTCTGAGGAAACATATTTCATACGTTAGATGTAAGTGTAATGAATAAATAAAGGGAAATGAATCACCAACACTCGTAATCTTCATAGTGTCAAAACGAAAATGATTTATAACCTAAGTCTTCCATTTTCTTTTGTTCTCTTGCTTTCCTTAGTCAATCTGAAAATTTATATTTTAATTCAAGATGTTTTGAATGTAAATTTAGAGTATGAAATTAAAATAAACTTTCATTAGATACATGTAAAGATATATTTAATTGAACTTGAGAAATAAACAAAAATGCTAAAAATGAAAAATCATTTTTGTTTTCTTCAGACCTCTATTTATTAAAAACGTTTCAATAACTTATCAGAAAAAGCTGAAGATAAAGTAAATTAAAACAATTTTTCTCTATTTACGATTTAATTAGATCATTTTTTATAGATAACATAACTTCAATATCTCTTTGCACTTATTCTATAAATATTTAGTTAAATATTCTTAGAAAAATACTATCATAAATGTCACATTTGAGAATTCATGTTTTCGTCGAGAAATAAATCTCTCGAATAATTTTTGAATACTTATGCTATTAGATTGCAATCTCACTGACTGAATACATTTACCAAAATGAATATGTTAATATGAGGAAGAAACTATTCATCATATAATGTTCTTACACCTGTGTAAGAAAAAAAAGCAAGTCAATAGATGTAATGATAATCATAAAATAAAATGTCATTCTTTGCATAAGATATAATCAAATAAATAATAAAGATATTTTTATTTATAAAATAAACTTTATGGACAAATACTTCAAATAAAAACAATAACATCGATTGAAAAAAATCAAACATAAAATAGATACAAAAAGCAGCATTTTTAGTTTGTACTTGATTCTTTACTTACTGTTGTTAATGCAATAATTGCTTCTTTGAGTAATGAAAGAAATTGAAATATATCAGCAAAACTATTATATAATGATACTGGTGCTATTCGAATAATATCATCGCGAATATCGATCTGAAAAAAAAGTAATTAATGAATAGTTTGTGAATATGAGATAATCATTATTGTGTTTATACATACAACAACACCAATTTTTTCTAATTCATCATGAATTTGTTGAGCAGTAATATCAATAGATCGAAATGATAATTCAGCACCACGTTTCTGAGGATGAAGAGGAGTTAATAAAGTAAGTTGATATACACCTGTATAACACGTGTAACTATTTCAATATCAAATAATTGATCTGTATAATAATGTATTCATCCAATCATGATAAGAGCAATTGAATGACCTTCGTGTCGAAATACATCAAGAATATTTTCAGTTCGTAAACAACTTTCATTGTAAAGAAAAGAATAACTTTTAGAGAGATCATAAATTGAAATGAATTTACTTCTCGTGCTTTGATTACAATTTTTGCATCTTTAGGATCGTAACCATGTAATTTAATTTGTGAATTAATGGCATATTGATCACTTGGAAATGCATGTTCTTCATATAAAATTTTATAACGATTACTTTGAGGTTGATAAAATGCTGTCTGTAAATGTTTAAAAAAAAAACAAGCAATTTTTGACTTAACATGAATATTAAATGATAAATACCATCATAAAATGAAGATTTGATGATAATTGATTCATAAGAGCAACTTCTTTGATTTGACCACCAACTAATAAACTCATAGTTGATAAACATGGAATATCACATTTTGCCCAAGGATTTGAACCAGTAAAATGACCATAAACGCCTCTATTAAAAATTAATTGAAATAATTTTTGTCTTTTTCATGAATGAAAACAATGAATCTAACTTACAATGTAGCCCAATCATTCATAAATGCATTCATATAATCAATTGTTCGTAGAGGCATCAATCCAAGTGATTGACCACAAAGATAGATACATTCATTAGATGGTTCAATTCGTTTTTTATCAACTACAAATTAATGATATTGTTTTTTTTTGTCTTCATCAAAATGATATTTATTATTTTATTCAAACCTTTTGGTAATGTTCCTAATTTTGGATAGGAAAATTTTTGTCTGATATAACCAAGAGGATCTTGATCATCCATAAATAATGCAAATTGTTTTTTATTTAATTCTAATTGATTTTCATGAGCTATTCTATCAAGATATGATTGTGGTGTTTGATCATGATCGAGTTGAAAAAAGTCTTGATTATTTGTATCTTTTAAAAGTACCATTATGTAGAAATTAATATAATATTTTTTTACTTAATTGTGATAGTTTATAATCATACATATTCTATTGCAAACCAAGTATTTACGTCGTAGTCAGGAACGGAAAAATTTTATTCATTCATGCATCATTTAGCCTCCTCATTTTAATTTTCTTTACTTTATTGCATTCATGTTTATGACTTAGTTATTGCCTATATTTCTTCCTTGAAGATAAAATCAACAGAAACTGAAAGACACAAGAAGAAATGTCATGCATTTTTTGTGTTTATATTGCGCATTCTGCGCATTTTTTTTATAGAATGTAATCTATGCAAGTAGTTTTTCATGGTCGTCGTAAGTTAAAAATATTCAAAAAGGAAGTGTTGAAAAAGGAAGAGCGCGTGCAAGATTAATTTTCTAGTTATGATAATATCTCTACCTATTACTTAGTCATAAGGTATTACTTTTAAATAAGTCAATTCTATCAAAATATCGTACAAAACTAAATTTAAAGTAAATATAAATCTAAAGATAAAATCTATTGAAATATTTCAGTATTATGACTTTTTTAGTTATGTTAATTAATGAATATTATATCAATAATTGAGACTAGATTGTATGATTATGAAGTAGAAAAAAATTATTTTGATATAATGTATAGTTTCTATTTTTCAAAATGAAAATTATATTTTTGTGCTAAATACGAACTAGTTAAATTAATCATTGCATTATATCGGAATAAAAACATGAATAAAAATATGTTAATATTATTCATACTGAAAAATTTGCTTATGTGCTATTGGTTTTTAACTGAATCATTTTGAATATTCTAATTGATTCGAGTTATTTCGATCCGATTAAATTAAATATCAAACGTTCTAATCGTTATATTATCCCTGTGAGCAAATTATTTTTTAAGATTCAGAACAGAGACGAGCACAGGACAAGTTTTTATATCTTATCCTACTGCTTTACTCCGTGTCCTGGCAAATGACAAGACAGGACATTGTTTGTAGCTTCGTCCTGTCCTGCAGGACAGTAGGAATTCTTATTTCGAATTTCAATCATCAAAGTACATATTAGTTTATTTCAAGCACAACAGCTAAATTCTTCAATAATACCTAATATTATAAACACAAAAAAAGAAATAGAAATATCTGGAGTGAGTATTTTAATGATGTGTTCATCACAGGAAATAAATATAAAAAGTATGAACTAGTCTGATTTTATCATCATTATCTTAACACATAGTGGATGCTATTAATAAAGTAAATATAACAATGAGAAAGTACTTGATGACAAAAATGATACAAAGAAAAAGAAAATAATATGCAAAACCAAAAAAAAACAAACAAATGGTTTTATAAAAATATTTTATTTTAACAGACTGCTCCTGAGAAATGTCTCTCTATACTAACTGATGTAACAGATATTGAGTGAATAGATTGGGCATATAGAGACAAACTATGGACTTTATTTTGATGTTTCTTCCAAAACGGTAAAGAATTAGATTCTAGTTTTGATTTATCAAATTCTAAATTAAGATAACGATCAAGTTCGTCGGTTTTTTTGTACGACGAAATAAAACTGCTTCAATTTCTTCTTCTGATTCTTCAACACCAATCTGCTTGATTCAAATCGACTCATCTTTTTTAAATTTCTTGTGTAACAGCTTGTCAATTTGTTGTTGATCTCATTCATAGGTGAGCACAAGACAACTTTTTCTGTCCTGTCCTGTCCTGTGTCTTTCTCTGATTCAGAATAGTATTGAACTGTTACTAGTGTATGTTAACATCATTATCAATAGTGTCTATTTCAGAGTATAGACCAAATATTTGCCCAGACATGAATTTCATTCATTCAGTATCTAGATAATAGTAGACAATCGTGCATTTTCGTTGTGTGCATTATAATATTATTCGAATATGATCAGTTGAGGTAAGAATAATATACCGAATGGATCACAAATAGCGCCATGATGAAAAAACTGAAATATCTCCACTTCGGCTCACTCGAATGGACTGATTTTTGTTGGGTTTTTAATACAAATAACGTAAATAAATACTACAGGCAAGCTATATTTTTGACCTCATGGAAGAAATTTCATCTATTGTCAAGTAAGAAAAATACATATGAACCGTTTCATAGATAATTTTTAGTGGTGATCTAAGGAAATAATAATAATAAGGAATTAAAAAGAATAATATTGACGCACATAACGCAATTTTTCAAAATTAGTCAGTTTAACTGTTCAAACTCGCGTCCCGTAAATAAAACGCCCCATTTTAGCTCTTTGGGTACCAACGTCCTTGCAAAAATCAGTGTCCATGTTGGAAAATTCAAAATTTTGTAACCGTTAACTTTTAAACTAACTAGTTGTGAAAATTTACTCTATGTACATCAATATAGTATCACGTATAAAGTTCGTTTTAATTTCTTCTTCTTATTATCCTCGATAACAACTGAAAATTATCTATGAAATCAGTGGCGTAGTCAGGGATAGAGTCATTGGGCAATTGCCAACAAGTTCAAAAGTAATTGCCTACCGCTTTCTTTTTGAAATGATACCAATTGTCCAACATCGAAAAATCTTGATACAGATACATGTACAAAGACTTAAATGGTGTCATTTTAATAAATTGTATATTGTTGTCATCTAATCACGTACGGAAAGTTAGCAGTGGATTCGAGTTTTTTCTGCTGACATTCGCTCATAGACTACGGTTATGTTTCTAGTTGGTTGGGTTAGATGCAGAATTTGATTCTGCATTGATTGGTGATATTTGCAAGGCGGGATCATCCGGGAAAAGCTGGGGATCTGACCTGAAATACGGGTGTTCTCGTCATTTTCATGATATGTGGATTGACTATGTTGCCGTTATTGCTGGAGTCTGTTCAAAGAAACACTTTGCGGTAGTCTTATTTTAGAAATTATGCTTTTATTCTATCTTCAAGGTATGCTTTAGCTGATTTAAGTTTAGTTAACACTGCTAAGAAACATATGAAAATGTAGGAACACGCGGACGAGATAGTATGAAAAACTTGGTGACTGACGAACGTTCCTTCGTCTCCATCGTAATTCTTTGATGGTTGAACTTAACCTTTTTTTAATATCCTTGTTGTAGTAGTCATCATATCTCATGATGCTGATTGATTGCCTTACTATTAGTGACGCCGCCTAAATGGTAAATGTTGATGTTCCTTCATAGAATACGGCTGGTATCAATCAATATCTATTTCTTTAGAATGAATGCTCATGGTGTCTAAAATTGTCACGCTTCGATTCTATAGAAAAGCGAACTATTTTTTGTAAGAAAAAAGCAGATAGTTGTATAAAGAAGTTATCATCTTTTATTGTTAATCTGCATAAGATAGCGTGTGATAGCCTGTTACCGTAATTAGGGATGTACCGAGACCGAGCCCAAGACCGAACCGAAAGCCTCGGACAGAATCCTCTCGATCTCGATCAGTCTCGACCGAAAAACGGCATAAATAGTAATTTCGACCGAGAATGAATACTATGCTTACCCATGATAAAGAACAAAATCGATATTACATGTAATCGAGACCGAGAGGCTCGGTCTCGGTACATCCATAGTCGTAATTTTCTTCTCTCTGAAGAAAAGATATATGGAAAATCGTAGAAGTTTTTTGATATTTAAATTATCATTTTTCGTACACGCAAGCAAACTCATGTACAAAGCATACCTATACTGATAATGTATGATAATAGGAGAAAAACTATTTATAAAATTGTTTTGATATGATACATCAAACAGTTCTGATACATTAAAAAGATTTTCACAGAAATACACGAAGAACTATAAGCCACATGTGTTCGGTTATGATCGAACTGCGACGCAGTTGTTAAAAAATAGATGACATGGAATAAGATTTTCATTTTATTAATATTTTTGTTAATGTTTATTCTTAATCTTTAATATTTTTTATAAAACTTGACTAAATGGTAACCTTAGATAAAGAATTCGAATTTAAGATGAAATTTTTATTTTAATATTTTCATTATGAATTACTACCAATTAATACCACAACCTTAATAATTCATAATAAAAATTAATAATAATTCGTAATGAAAAAATTAATACAATGAAAATTTGACCTCAGATTTGAACTCGTGACTTGCGAAAACCCCCTGATCTTTGTTTTGGCTTGAAAAAAAAGTGCATTCAGACTGCATACTCTATCTGTTGTAAATTAGTAGAATGAAATATGAATTACAGTCTGACGAAGACTTCCTTTTATAAGGTCTCTTTGTTACTAAGTTTTGACGCTAGAGTGTAACCAATTACAAGTAAGATGAAACTGTTTATGATCTGTTGGTATCAGATAGATTGGATCGTTCGATACGAATAATGTGGCGCAGTTGCATTT